TGTATATTTTTCATTAATTTATATGAAAAATAAAAAAAAATTATTTTCAAAACTAATCTCACTTGAATAATTTTAATTTAATAATTAATAAAATTAAAATAAAATAAAATTTTATAACAATTATTAAAAAATACAATAAATATGTATTTTTAAAATATTTTTTTCGTATTTTTTTTTTAAATGTTAATCAAATGATATCAAAAGATACTAACATTTATTAAATCAATGAGTAAAAAGTCCAGACACAGGAAACAAATTTGAGTGAGTGTTTTTTTTTTTTTTTTTTTGAAATTCATGTAAATCATTCGGAGGGGGTATATAAATGATTAAGAAAAGGGAAGCACTGCTCACAAGTAAGGTGGATGAATTGATAAAAAACTCTTTCAGTTTAATTAAAAATTTTAGTTTTAAACTTTGAGAATGTAACTTTATTAAAACTCGTGAGGGAAAGTTTTGTTACCCATTGAGTTCTGTCTGGCTCAATCCAGATTAATCGGTGGCCTAGTGGTTCATACAGAAAAAAAAAAAAAAAAAAAGGAAAAAGAAAAAAAAGAAAGGGGAAGCACTGTGATATTGGGCTCGAAAGTTGGGGTTCAAAGTAAAAATCCAAGTTTTAATTCTGGCCCAATACGAGTGATTTAGCTAAAATGGGCTAGGCTTGAATACTCTCCTCAAATCTCAATCATTACGGACTTAGTGTCATGCTTAGGCCACTGAACCACCCGACCCGACCCAATTCAAATGCCTTCCGCCCCTCTCCTAGCATCCCGTTCAAGTGCCCTAAGCCCTCCAATTCTCCTTACTGTTTTTTTCTTTCTTTTTCAAAAAAATATAAAATTAAAAAATAAAAAAATCATACTGACGGAAATGGAGAGAACTGAAATCAATGGTCCGGCAGCAACCTCTGCAAGTTCCGGCGGCAACCTGAGATCAACTACTACTTCCCCTCCGCGCCCCAACTACAGCAGCCCGGCGGTTCAGGTACTCACCACATTTTCTTCTCCTCTGCTTTCCAATGAGAGTAATAGCTGCAGATTGTAAAACCCTAGCTATTATGTCGCTTTCGGCTTTATGTTCAGTTTATTCGGTACCGTGAGCTCTCTGCATCACTTTTGGCGTTTCTGTATGCCGTTATCTGATTCTCTCTCTCGGTACTCTGCTAAGCAGTTAAATTCGCGTTTCTCATGAATTTTGACAATCGAATTTGCAAAACGCTTGTGGCGGTTGTCTTAGGGTTTTGTGTTTGCGTTGGATTTTAATTTCAGGAAGCTTTGGAACACCTTGCATTTATTGATCTCGGTGAGTTGTGTAATGAAGCAAAAGTTGAGTACTGTAGAGCAACTAGAGACTTGAGAAGCTGTGGGCGTTATGTACAGCATGGATTGAATTCGTGTGGACATGCCTCCTTATGTGCAGAGTGTAGTCAACGGTGTGATCTTTGTCCAATTTGTCGAATACCAATACCAACAAGTGGTAATAAACTCCGGCTTCGCCTTTATGATCAGTGCATCAATGCTGGCTTAATCTCCAGAAGGCATGATGAGAGATTTCAAGTTAAGGACGAGAGGGATAATCAGCTGGCTACGGATGTCCAACGCCTTTATTCTTTCTTTGATGTAGCCATGCAGAACAACTTGGTATCTTTGATTTGTCACTGTATCCTTCTGCCGTTTGTAGTTCTGATGGTGTGGATTTATTTATATTTTTGTTTCATGCCCCAAATTCCAGCAGAAGTTCATATTTTCCTTGATGAACAATTAATAGATGTGATAGATGTTTGTATGGATGAAACTGCTGTCTCCAGTGATGCTGTCACTGCTTGGTTGCTGGATGAGAAGGTTGTCAAGGATTGGGTGAAGCAAACATTTAAGAACATCAAATCAGAAGTTCAAAGGATATGTATCCTTAAAAAAATTTTGAATTTTTTCAATATTTATTATCCTTTCATTTATTATGTCTATCTTTTGGAGATGTTGTGCTTCCTAACTCCTTTTGTTAGATAATCTTGAGGTTGGAGAGATGAAAAGTAGGTTGAGTTCACTTTTAAAGTTTTCGGGACAATTGGCTGGCATATCCAAAGTGCTTGATGTTTTAGAGTCATCTTTCAAGGATAGTCTTTCAGCACAGCTTCATGACTTGCATCACCTTCATGAGAGTATATTAAAAACAAAGCAGGTTCAATTCTGTCTAGTGAATGATCTTTCAATGTTCTCCTTTCTAGAAAAACCAACTAAAGCTTGAAGGAGTCTGCTGAGTTAATAACTGGATGTTAAGCTTTTTTCTGGTCAAACAATGTTAGAGAAATTTGTTTTATGAATTATTAGTTTAGGGCTTTATTGAAAAAATTATTGGTTCTTAGGTCAAACAATCTTAAATACATTCTCATTGATGTGACTATTAATATGTTTCTTTCAAAACAGCATCTTGAGATTGCAATGTGGTGCATTAGACATCAATTTCTTGAGCATTTGAGATGTCGTTTTCCTGATTTTGCATCCTGGCGTACGGATGTTCGAGAAAGGAAATCAGCTGCAATTAAACGTGCATGGCCTGATGTGTTAAACTCCTCAGTAGACTCTGCTGGACAGGATGGCTCTCTCTTCATTGAAGATGCTCTAGCAAATCTTGAGATAGAGCAAGGAAATGCAGAGGGATCAGATTATGCATTTTTGCAGGAGAATGGTGCTTTGTCATTTTTCAGGTCTAAGATAGAAGGAGTGACAGGATGCTATCCCTTTGAAAATCTTCAAGCTGCTGTAGACTTACTCTTTCTGCATGGTAGTTCTGATTTGGTGGTTGCAAAGCAAGCCATTGTATCCTTTTCTGTTTAATGTGTTTTTCTCCTGTTGGATATTTGATCTTGATTAAATATCTCCAATTAGGCAAGTTACTGGAATTTTCTTAAATGAGATTCAGTTTCTATATTATTTGTTTGATCGGCATTGGAGAACACCTGATGAAGGGTGGAAAAACATTGCGGATGATTTTGCTGCCACATTTGGTATAACCAGGCATTCATTACTTGAATCGTTCACATTCTTTCTTCTGGATGACCAATCAGATGAGGCTTTGCAGGTAACTTCTGTATGAATTCTCTAAGATGCTCAATGAGTCTAAAGTTGCCATTTTGCTTGCTGTTGGGACACCATACATATTTCAAAACTACCCTGTGGTGTTTTGCTTATGGTATTTCTACTTTGACTTGTGTATCATTATCTTGTTGCTAAATAGATTAGTTTAATTATAACTCCCAATCCATGTCAGCAACTATCTTCTGTCTTTCCAGCAAGAATTATTTGTATTCTCATGTCTAGTCACCTTTTATTAATCTTTTCATTGAACCACATTGCTTAGGAAGCTTACCAACTTCTTCCAGAGATCTCTGGCCATTCAACTCATCCTAAGGTTCCACACGTACTTTTAGAAAGAGGAAATCCTGAGGCAGCTCTTATGGTTTTACGTTGGTCTGGTCGTGATGGTGTATCACAATTGGTTTTGCTTAGTGAGGCTGTCAGTTCTGTTCGAGTGAGGGTGGAGTGTGGGCTTTTGACTGAGGCATTTACATATCAAAGGATGCTCTGCACCAAAGTCAGGGAAAATAAGTTAGTGCATGGACTAAGTGGGAATCCATCTGCTGAACTGAAATTGGAAAGCAGAAGCTGGTCAGAGTGGGTGGAAACATTGGTTACTGAATTTTGTTGTCTATGTATCCGGAGGAACTTGGTAGATAGAATGATAGAATTGCCCTGGAATTTTGATGAGGAGAAATATATTCATAAGTGCCTTTTAGATTATGCTACTGTTGACCCTTCATCAACAACTGGCGGTCTTCTTGTTGTATTCTATCTTCAGGTAACTACCAGATTTGCAAAAGATCAAATGAGGATGAGGCATTGTATTGAATCTCATTTTAACTTGTGTATGGATCTCCAATGCCTTGAATAATGGAGCTTAATTGCATTTTCTCTGGAATTGTGGAGCTTAATTGGGTTTTCTGATCCATTTGGAGGATAACGCTCCAGCAGAGATATATGTTGTTAAAGAAATACTGACATCATTATTTTGATTCACTTTCTACCTGTTAGATGAATCTTTTTGTTGCTAATTTTTACGATGCTTGATTTGCCAAATTTAATATTGTTTTTAGGAGATGCTTTATATCAGCTCCTGGGCACTGCATCCTATATACTATGTTAAATTGCTGTTTGGTGATTTTTTTGTTAAAAGAAATATTTATGATTGGATTACTAGAGATCTAATTAGTTTGTAATTTGTTACACTTTCAGCGCTATAGATACAAGGAGGCATATCAGGTTAATCTCAAACTTTGGAACATTGAAGAGGACTTCTTTTCCAAGGAAGAAATCAATAAAGAAGTTTTATCCAGAATGGAATCACAACGTCAGAGGCGAAAAGTATTGGTTGTAAGTGGTTCAACTTTGAGTGTTTTCTTTTATTTAACTGCCAAAAGAATTTTTATTTTGTTATATTTTTGGATGTTAGATTCTGTTTGGCATAACAAGCAACATTTATGCTTAGAATGTGGTATTTTGATGTGTAAATAAAAGATTAACGTAACCTGTATAAGATTGTCTGGAAAATGTCTTTTTTTTTCTTGGGCAAATGACATGCAACTTCTGGTGAATTTTCTGGGGTGGTTTCCTGGTGATCTTGTTAGTAAGACTGAACCTGATTTGCATACTTATTAGTTCAGATAGCTTCTAGAGGTACATGCACTAATGCAATTTTTTTTTTTTTTTTGGTCGGCAAAGGAAGTTAGTGCTTAGCTATAAGCTATTGAACGGATTTGAAAATTGGACCCCTGTCCTTGACCCCAAAACCAGAATGAAGGGAGTTGATGGTTACCAATTTGGCTAAGCTTTTGTTGGTTGGCAGTAATGCCCTTGAGCTTGCTATATTTAGAAAAATAAACAATGTTTAAAAATCTTATCAATAAAAAAAATCTTCTAAATGGTTTTGCTCTTATAAACAGGATAGAGGTGTAGAGTTGTTGCCAGAAGTCCAGCAGCAACAACTAAAGACTGGAAAACTGGAGGAGATTGTGGATGCTTCTGGTAGAGAAGCTGATATGCCAGTAAAATCTGATCATCCTAAGTTATTAGAACCAAAATCTACCAGTTTGTTGGTCCCCTCAACCTCTGATTCAATTGTTCTGCAGTCTGACCATATTGCTACCCTGTCGAGACCATCAGTTTTTGAAAATTCTAAAGCTTTGGTGGATTCTGTCAATAATCCTTATATTGGGGTTGGCAATGTGCACTCTTCATCAGTTCTACAGGAAAGGTTGTTCACAGATGCAGAAAGAGCATCAAAACTTGAATTTAGGGCTGGCGAAAGTTTCAAATTTGATGACATCTCAACTCCTGGAATTCGTCAAACAAGTCCCCCATATGTTACACCATTAAAAGGATTCCGTAGGAGTTCTTCAAAAGGGCTTCAAAACAGACAACTCCAAGAAAAACGATCTCATCAGATCACTCCAGAGGAGGATCAAAATGGGTTTATTAACCAATTTCGCAACACAAGCCCTCCATATTCCCGCCGGGTGACAGCTAATCCTGTAAGTACACCTGGCAGCAATAATGGCCTGTGGTCAAATCCTGGTAAGAGGGGCCAATCAGATAGAGGTGATGGGCAATGGAATATGCTTTCTTCAAACCATCCCATGGATGTTTCTTGGAGGTAACAATTTTTATGTCATTCTCTTCCTTCACCCTCCTCCCTTGATGCTAGTCTCTATGTACTAAAAATTTGAAGGTTACAGTAACATCCTCTTGTTTTGTCATTTTTAATTCCTAATTTTTGCACATTTGCAGCTATGGGGAGAAGCCTTTTACTGTTGAGGGCAGAACTTCAAACGGGGAGCTGAGATGGAGGTCTGATGAAACCAGTGATGAGGAAGAGGGCCATGGTCTCGAGAGAGGGATAGAGTTTGATAGGACTCCCATGAGGGGAAGGAGAAAAAGCAGATTTGCCAAAAGATGAAAAGGAAAAAAAAAAAACTTCTTTTGCGGCTTCATTTCTGCATCCTGTCACCCAGAAGGTATTCATGGCACTCAGCGGTTACTCCACCAGATGTGCTGGAATGAAATTTGAGATGAGATTGTGCATTGCCTTGTTGTGAATGGATCAAGGGAAGCAGATCCCAACCATCTCATGGTGATGAGACAGATTTTCTATATATCACTCTACCCTTTTCAAAACAGTTGTTGTAAGCATATTGCCTTTTTAACATAGGAAGCATGTGAAGCTGTCTGTGCTAAACCGCAGGCTTTACTCTGATATGTACTGAGGCAACTACCCAACATATCTGAAATTCAAATTTTCTACTACTAAACAAACGAAACAAGCCAGT